GAGGCAAACAAATATAGCCTCTAGCTTGCAGACACCACGCTCACGCTATCGACTACTACTCTAGTGTCGACAGGATCCGTTAGCCTCTACTAGAGTATCCACCACGAGGACGGATTTACGAACCCCGCAAACAAGTAAGAGTAAAGTTTAATCGATCAATGACTTTATAACTAAAAAAGAACCACTTAACACTCACTTAGCGGGAGAACCCTGATTTAAGTATAGCGCATGTGTTCATTGAGGTATAGAGAGACACCGACAAGTCCGGCGCTTCCCAAGCTCTTTCTCATATCTCTCCAACTACTTGCTCTAGCTAGCTATCTAGGGCCTAAACCCTTGGATTGGTGCTCTTGGTGTTGCTCTTGAGGTGTTGTTGAATGATGACCTTTATAGGTGGAGAGGAGGAATGATCCCATGGAATATGCTTTGATTCCCTCATTAATGCACCAAACCGACCTCAAACCGACGCCCTAGATACGTTGAACTTGGACCAACCCGCCATTGCAAAGGCGATATCTAACAACACGCCAAAGATGGGCCGAGAGGCGCCATGGAAGAAGTGCGACCAGACTTGGGGTGCAGCAGCACTTCAATCGGGCCCAAACGAGCCTAGCTTTGGTGGGTTGTCTTTGGGCCTCTTGATGGATCCTGCAAAGTTTGGCGCCATTTGAAGTTGATTTGATATAGGTTTTGACCTTTTTCTCCACTTGATCGGACCCCGATTTGCCCTGGTAAGTGGGCCTTCTCTCTTGGGCTCATGTCGGGTGATGTTACGCCTTTGTCTTATTGTGCATTTTGGACGGTTGTCCTTGTTATTCAAGTATGTGCCCTTCAAAATATGTAAACATCAAAACTCGTGGAACTTGTTAGTTATAAGTCCTAATTTTTAAGTTCGGTGTCCATATTAGTTCATTTTATGTGATAGTTGACGGTTAATAAAAGGAGTTAAGGACAGCCAACAACGCATTAATCGTAGACAGTTTGATTTAGTACAATTGGTTCATTTCGTTAAATATTGTCATTGTTACCTGTTACTTCAGTTTGCCCCTGAAATTGACTTAAGTGATGTTCTCCTTTTGCATTAAAACCTCAAACCTAATTAAGCTGCTACTATTTTTTGTTTCCAAGGTTCGACGATGCAGATTAGTGTACAGTATTTTTAATTTTAATTCCTTTACCTCCATGAAAACTCAGTGTGGTTACTCATGCTAAGCTTTTCTGCATCACCCATCTACGCTTTGTAGTTTGCACCATCCTCCACTGCCTTCAAATCACCCGTTGCTCCTCCTGGTGTTGATACAGGCTCCAGGAGGCTGTGTTCCAAGATAGGAGAGGGTGCAAGTCGCCTTCAGTTTTGTATTTGTGCGCGCTCATTTCCTTTATGTGCTTCGTCATGTAAATGTTCCTACTTGGGCTTATTTTGCTGTGATTTGCAGTTGATGCTTTAAGTTATGATGAGTAGATTTATTATTCTGTTTATTGAGCCCATCTTCTATGATTCACAGGCTAAGGAAACTGGGCAGAATGGATTATCTAGACCTCAAGTTCATAGCAGCGTCAAATATGAATACATTTTTTCAATCCAGCAATCTCAGGGACTTCCTCTTTATACCAACTAGGTACATCATTTTAATTTGATTTATACATTTTGGTCAGATTTAAGACATGGTCTATTCGTGTCTGATGGAAACATTGTCATATTTGCTAACCGTCGTTGTTATCCTTTGCAAAACTGCATACTGAGATTCTTTAAATGTTGCCCCAAAAATATGTTTCACGCATTTCTTCCTTATTTCTTTGCAGTTCGTTGCATCTATCTGCCTGTGCCCACCAAACCTAAATCTGTATATGCCCTTTAGTGCTACTTTGCATGCTTCAGAACTTTGAACTTGAAGCTACTTTGTATGCACACTGGATAAAAAACATATTGTAACATTTTTGCAGGTGCTATTTTACATGTGCGCGATTCAGCCTGTATAAATATTTAAAAGGTAAGCGACCACCTTTCTGTTCAAATATTCTTTTTGGACCTGCTCGTACTACCTGTTTCGTTGTGTTCACTCAAGTCATGATGAGGCGTTCTGCATAAATTGTAAGTTCTTCACATGATTTTCTAATTTGAAAGGACACAGAGCCTTAGCATCTTTGATTATGGGTTTAAAAAAATTGTAAGCCCTTCATGTTAGTCCGTCTCCAGTGATTATCATATTCAGTGGACAAGTTGGCTTACAGAGTTTATATTACGTGTTACGAGGATAGCATCCAACACTGGGTAATACAATTTATCGCTTTTTTACAATACCTTTGCTGGTGGTTAACTTACCAGCTGTCACACATGCATCAAGAGTAGGGCACTGAATTTCGTGGTCAATTCCTTCGTGTTCTAGGGAACTTGCAAGTATGGAGGTTCATGTACAAACTTCCATTTGAAGCTAGATGGTGTTAATCTAGCATCAGTTGCACCAGGCAAGTGTTCGTTTTTTCCTTAATGAAAGGTGTGCAGTTTGTTTGACTGGTCTCTGCTAATTAGCTCTCAAGTTTGTTTGGCTTAAATGAAAACATTCACCTACAGTTCATTCCTATGTGTTTATTCTTCAATGATTGTCTGCATGTTATCCATTCTGAAGGGCAAAGCTAATTTCCCTCCTCACTGCCACCATCTAAATCCTTTAGCCACAATAATCTCTTGAATATCTATTTTAGTCAATAAATGGGATTCAGTTTTGTCCCAGAGATCTCAAATGGCTAAGTTTTGTGGGAAGGCTATTTATACCCCTTCGCACACCCCTTTTGTGTGTTTGTTGATGCTTTGCAAAGTTGTCTAACTTCCTCTTGTGAGAGCTCTCAATCCACTCTGTGTGGGATTTGTGTAAAAAGTGAGATATACTTTGGATTGGAAAGTGATATTTGAATGTTTTGAGCTTGTGCGAGCACTTGTGTAAGAAACATGGACCCTAGCAAGAGCCCACTTATTTTGGTGGTTGAATGACAACATAACCATTAGGAATAACAATGTTTGGTAGTATACAAGGTACACTAGTCCTAAGGATGCAAAGATGGACTTGAGCTAGGCTACACGAAGATCGAGGAATCAACACCTCAAAAAAAGGGGGGGTGGGGAGAGGGCAGACCAAAGGTCGGGAGGCTCACACATGAGTGGGGTCCGGGAAGGGAAAAACCGAGGCAAGCCTTCCCCCGCAAAATCAGCCGTTGAAGATAAAAAAACAGCCATGAAGATCACAAGAGGCAAGCAAGAAGCTCAAGACATCAAAAAGAGAAGCTCAAATTATTGGACGTGAAGGAACACATTTAGAGGAGCACCAGAGTGATGCACATAGTGTGTTTTCCGTGGAACCGAAGCTCTCAAGCGGGGTCACCGGAGTTTACAGATGGACCCGAGTTCAAATTAGAGTTGGAAGCTAGGCATGACATTTTCTAGTGCTATCACCGGAGTTTTGCACTAGAGTTATAGTACATACTTGATGCACAAGTGGTTGAGACTTGAGAAGAGAAGAGAGCGCCAGAACTCTTGATGTGTGCACCGTAGAATAAGGGTGCATTCTAGAGAGCGAGGCCAACCCTGGATAAAGCAATCAATTTGTTTGGTGATGCACTGGAGAAAACACTAGATAAAGAGACTTTCAACGGTCAGCAATGGCTAGTACACATGTCAGGATTTGTAGGGTTTGTTTGGATGCACTCATGTTTATCTCAATGCATGTGTGATGGAGTGGATTGTGGTAGAAATTAGTTAATTTTCCACCCCAATATATATGGACTGAAGTAGATACAGGTGCAGCCAAACAAGGCCATATTTGTGATTTTTTATTCTTACCCACATCTTGATTCCTTTGTCCATGTAGCCGTTAATGTTTGGTGCTTCATCAAACAAATGAGCTTGACTGTTCTTACATATTCGCTCACGATTGTAGTTGCCCCAAACATGGTACTTGCTAGCAAATGCATTTCAAGCAGTATTCCTGTTGGTCAAGGATTCAAATCGTTATTTCAGTGCAAGAGCATGAACCAATTCATTCGTATAAATCAAGTATCAACAAATGAATTTGATACTCATGAGTGCGATATGTAAGATATCGTAACAGTGCAAAATATTGCTGAACTGCTAATACAAGAGCGTGACACAAGAAAAGAAAGAAACAGATCCATATGGCTGAAGTCTCACATGACAGCTTAAAAGTGAACTTTCCACATTAGTCGCACAAAAGTTGGAATTACATCTGCCACTTCAAAGTTTCAAGTTAGCTGAGGCCACAGCAGGGCTGCACCAGCGTGTTGCCTTATGATTTAACACTCAGACGTCATGGGAATACCAGCAGCCTTCCCCATAGCGACACCATCCCTGTTGATAGTAGTAGTGGCAAGGCCGTGGTTGCAGTCGCTGTTCTGGAAACTGCTGATTAGGTTGGTTCTGTCTAGAATTATACTGGTTTTGGATCATTTTCCTGCGACCATTGTAGTTCTGATGATGGTTCTGTTGGGTCCCTTGGCCTTGAGTCATGGGCCTGCGGCCGTAATAATTTTGATGCTGACTCTGTTGAGGATGATACTGGCCACGAGTCATTCCACTGTAATCATGGTAACCTTGGTGGTAATCCTGGCCAAAAAATTGGTCGCTTGAATTGAAATCCTGATTTCTTGGTCTGAAGGGTTCATGCACTTGGTGATGAGCTTGGGCATTTTATGAGAATTGGAGTGACGCTGGTATGCATTTGCATGCTGATTAAACTCTCCTCTGGGCTGGAACGAGGGGTCAATATATTCTGTGTCACAGTAAGTACTATTCTGATCCTGATTTTTTGGTCTGTAGGGTTGATGTGCCTGACGACCACCATGGGCATTCTGGTGATAATTGGAGCCATGCTGGTGTACACTTGCATGCTGAGCGAACTTACCTTGAGGTTGGAATGGAGAGTTATCATATTCTGTGGCATGGCAAGTGTTACTCTGATGATCAAACAATTGTTCTCTGCAAGTTTTTCTCAAACCATCCGCTTCATTCTTGCCTTGATGTTTGGGGACCTGTCGTGGCTTGAAAATTGGAGTGGGCTTTGAAGATATTTGGTGATGGCTTGTGTTCCCTGATCCTTTATTGTGTTGGGAAGGACATGATGATCTATGAATGCTTTCCTGGAAGTTCTAATTGCACCCTCCTGTGTCAGGGCATCATCTTCTTGTTGAAAACTTTGGTGAGGACTTGAGTTCTTGAACAATTGCTGAGTATGAGTGGGATTTGAAAGTAGTTTTTGCTGCATTCCTCCATATTGAATGGAAGAGACCTGATAATCGATGAGCTCTGGCTTGAAAGTTCTTGCCGAACCCTTCTGTGGGAGCAATTCATTGTGATGTGTAGAAGTAGCCTTTGAAGATACATGTTGCTGCCTTGTATTCCCAGGTTCACCATTTTGGAAGGAAGGGCCTTTCCTCCCATTAACCCTAATAGATGAAAGAAAAGCTATATAAGCACATAGATGTTAATTCCCAAGAACTCTATAAATGATACAGTAAGATGCCACTTTCTTTTAATAAGTATTTACCATATATATTAGATGCAAATGGACTATATCTATTGAAGCAGTACTGCTTAATGTAAACAGGCCCAGCAATAGAAAAGCAAGATCACTATTGTAACAGGAGAGAATGATAGTATTAAGAGACAGTATTTTCTTTTACTAACTATATCTACAACATATTAGAAGCACATGGGCATGCTATTCAACAGCTCTGCTTAATGTAAGTATGCTAAGTGGTGATAGTAAGATAACATTTTTCATGAGTACCATGATAGGAATCGCAGCATTAGGAAGCAGTTGACGTACCTTTGCTTAACATTATTCGTGGACTCAACCTTTTGTTGTGGCTCTTGTGGCTGTTTTTGGTTCACGTTCCACTGTTTTTTTATCTTATTGTCCTTCATCCTGTTCCCAAAACAATATATTAGCATGTGTTACAGTACAACTGACTACAATTCTCATCATGGGCATTATCGCAAAATATCACATCAAAATCAACACCATCATTGTCCCTAGAAATACCTATGTCACAGTACTAGAGCTTACCTATTTAATCTTGCCAACCTTTCAGTCTCTTTTTCATGAATCCTGGCTGCTCTTGACTTGCGTGCCAAGAACCCTCTTTCATGTTTTTCTTGGATGACCCTATTTCTTTCTTCTTCATCAGGCCATGGCTGTGAATGTTGAAAAATATCAGTGCAGCTCAATAAATAATAAGGTTTTTTTTCTTCATACGCAAAAGAACCTTGCTAGAGAATGCACCTGTCTCATAGTCCTATCCTTGTAAAGATTTCTTCCCTTGATGAGGAGCGGATGAAGGGGAGGCCACGGTTTGTATCCTTTACTCCATAAAATCTCAATCTACATTTTTTATGCATATGACTTCAAAGAACATTGTTTTCGCAATACTGTAATTGAAGGAAATTAAAATGCATGCTCATAAAAGAACCAAAGCCTTACAGTGAACATTATGCTGTTGTTGCTTTGCTGTGCCATAGCTTTCCTTTATTATTCTACCGGCATTGGTCCTTTGTCCACGAAGCGACCCTTAACTTCACGAGGAGCTCCTTTTCCCTACAACAATACTCAACAGATACAAAAATGAAAATAAACATAATGCTTCAAGATTCATGATTTGTAATGAAAACCATCAGAACAAATGCTTAATTTGAATTACCTTTTGTAAATGTTCTGCTCAAACATCACAACATCTCCTTTGCATGCATCACCTACATCAATTATATATGATACATAGAGAGAAAATTCACAGAAATGGCGCAGGAAGGCAAAAAATTGTCCTTGCAACATCAGTATTATATTTTTTTATATAACAGAAAATCCTAAATTAAGGCCATGTAGACACCTGGATCCCTACAGAGCTCTAAAGCTCACTATCCATAAGCACTTGAACTATAAGATCATCCCTTTGGTATTATAAAGCTTTTTTTTTTCCACAACAGGCAACCTGAATTTCATTACCAAAAAGAAACCAAAATACAGAGAGTTCTATTCAAGCAAAGTTTAACCAAAGCAAGCAAGTTAATCACTTATCTGCCAGTGCCTCTGAACAAAGGGTTCAGCAGGCTAGGCCAAGCACCAACAGAAAATCTATGCTGAGACTAGCACGCCTAGTGATAACTCTCTTTGGTATTGTAAAGTTGATAAATCTGTTCACATTCTTCTCATCCATATTAAAATGTGTATTTCTGTGCAGAAATAGCTTGTTTCACCTTTACAGTTCAGAACAAAGCTTGACACTGGATACTTCACCTCTCCATCATTTTTCACCCTGAATGTTTGTGAAGAAAGTGTAAGTACATCAATGGGCATGGAACATGCTCTGACAAAGCCAATAGCCTGCTTGCATTATGGATTATCAACAACAAAAATTCAAGATTAAGATTTTAAAATAGGAGATCACAGTTGATTACACAGTTCATACTCTATATGCTCTCTTATTCGATTTAGGAGCACTTCCTTCTTGCTTGTCAACCTTAATTTGTGCATCCGCAAATATGCTTTACATTCATAAACCTTCAATTTTTCCAGCTGACCATCTGTACATTGCAAGAATGTTGTTCATATGAGAAACTAAATTATGCACTAAATAAAAAGGAAAAACTTGCACTATTGATCCATGGAACTGTAGCATATCTTAAACAGGTCCAGGCATCCAGCATGGTCTCATGACCTCGTTCTTTGCTTGTACTTAAAAGTTAAAACTACAATGATTAAAGCAAAATTCAAATGTTTTTTTGTGTGTATGTCAATCAAACTTCGCACACTAGTTTCTAAACTTCATATGAACACAACAAAGTTCATTTGCTGCATCAAGGTATCAAATGAATGAAGTAATGCAAAACAAGTTGTATTTCAAGTTTCTGTACATGCTGTTACGAACAGTGGTGGACCTTGAGCCTAAATCTAGAAGGACCAATCATAAAAGAACAAGGCTATTTTTTAATTTTTATCAAGCTAAATGGCAAAAACTAATGGAGTTTACACAAGTTCAGGGTCGCAATAGCCCCTATTGGCCTGTGAGAAGCTCCACCGCTGGTTATGAAACACAATTTTCTTTAGCCAAGTTGGTAGTAGGTTCTCATGTCATTTCCACCAAATTTCCACTGGCAGTGGCAAGGCATGCATTATCACCTTTCCGTCCCATCTCTGGACCAATGTGCATCACATTATTAGAAGGAAATAAGAACTCACCCTGCATGAGCTTGTCCACCATGGCCAGAAGGTCAGTCTCCTCCTTTCCCATCTTCGGCACCGCTGACCCTTTCCTGAAATCGTGAATTTTTCATAGAAATACGGGATAAGGAATCGTGAACAGTTCGGCACTGCTGAACCCAAGGCCCGAACAAACGGGATTAATGAATAAATGGCAAGAATCGCAGACCGAGTTCCCATCTCCGATCTACCACACGATCGCACAAATTGTATCGAGATACCCAATCAGAGAAGGGAAGAAGCGGAGACAAACCCCGCTGCCTAACCTGCCCTTGCGCGCCGAGGCCGAGATGGACATCCTGCTCATCCTGGCCCGCAGCACAGCCTCCACCTCCAGGTCCCCGTCGGCGCCCGGGTCGAAGGTGGGGTCCTCGTCGGAGCCCGCGTCGAGGTCGCAGAGGCCCGCGAGGCTGTCGACATCCGACTCCTCACCATCGTCGCTCTCCACCTCCTCTTCCTCCGATTCATCCGATCCTTCCTCCTCCTTACGCCGATCTTCCTGCGACCGGGAGAGATGTCCAGGGCGGGGATCACCGCCGGCTGGGGTGGGGGTGTCGGTGGCGGCGGCGGCCATTGCGGGTTAACGGGTCGACCGTTGGGGGAGGTCGGGAGGGGGAATGGACGGAAGGAACGTTTCCTCCTTTCGCGTTTTGGTTTGAAAAAAATGTGTTTTAGGGCTATGTTTGGACAAAAGATTTTTATATACGAAAAAAAAAGTGAAGGAAATCAAAGCGGAGTTTTGAAGAAAGGAAATGAGCTATCCGTTTCATACGAAGTACTGTAGCTACAATCAGATTTTGCAGGAACGAATCCACTGTTAACTCAAGTTTTCTCTAGTGTTGTGTTGTGTGCATATGTAGCTCGATGGATAAAGATGACACAAATTAATAGAATATTGGTCCCATGCGCAATGCAGTAATGCAAAAAAAAAAATCATCTTTCATCATGTTATTAATGTTGTCACTAAAATCTAATGTGTATTTTTATTATCGCTTCTTGAGCTTTTCCTTCTGTATTTTATAATCCCATATTTTTCACGTTTTACACCATACCACATTTCTATGTTTTTTTTTCCATTGCTCTATCTTGGATTTCTGAATTCCAAATAGGGCCTTACTTCTTGGGCTCATAGTCGCTGATTTTTAGTGGGTGTTTGATCACACGACCAAAATTTGTCCTAACTCATGATATAATAAATTCAATGTTGATTAAGGGCCTGTTTGAAAGTTCGGTATTTAGACTAAAACCCTTGTAAATTACAGGTCCTAAAAAATTTCCAACCTAAACTAAAATTAGTTGTTTGGATGGCTGGTGAGCCTAATACTATTACACTAGAAAAATTGGCGCGGCGTTGCCGCGCCTTGGACTGTGCCAGTGAATGACTTGTGCTTTTATTGGTCTGGTGGTGTACCTTGATTTTGTATTTCAGTGATGTTATTTTATATAAGGTCAAATTCACAGGTCATAATACCATGACCAGCATTTTATTGTTTTGTGACTGGCAGTTATAAACCAAGATTTTTGCATATTGTCTCTGGGTAGAAGTGCAGCATTTGAGAATTGTCAGTGCCTACTTACTAGTGTTTGATTGTGGTAGAAAATATAATAGGATGCTAAAAAAAAATTAAGGTCCTAAGATACAGCTAGTATGCATGCTATGCGCATGATTTCTGCAATATCCCTTGATAACTTTTGTGGCTAAGTACTCATCAGCACATGACAGGTTGATCTTTTGATATTTTTTGGTTATCCTTGTAAATATGTTGTAGATCCAACTATCCAAGTTAAGAACGGGTAGGAGAATAAAAATGATATGGAAGAGCGTGCAAGCACAAACATGATCAAAGGACTAACCTGTTCATTTCGGCTGATAAGACATGGTTTGAAATCTTATTATTGATTTGTTGTGAGAGAAAAATATTGTTCATTGTCTAAAAAGTACGAACTTATAAGCCAAGTGAACAGGACATTATATGTAAAGAGACACTGAGGCTGAGCATATACACATGAATATAGATGGTAAATGAGAATATATAGACTACAGATAATTATGAATGAAGACAAATGCAGTTTAGTATAAGAGTAGAGAGTATACAAGAGTAGAGACTACAACTGCAAGCAAAATTTGTTAATGCATAGCATGGATAATAGATAAATGTAATTTGCTTTTAAATGATATCACAATTCTGTTAAAAAAGAGAGATATATATTACATATGGTTCCTATACATTCAATCGAGAAGATGACCTGACTGACACCTATTAGTCTGTTACGACCTTTTCTTCGTATTTTCCATATATATGAAAATGGAAATGAAGCAAGAAAAGGGCATACATTTATTATCCGAAACTAAAATATCTCATCAGATGACACAAGGCATTGGAATTGTGCAATTGCTTAGGGGAAGAACTTTCTGGTAATCGGTGTTGGCCCATGTGTCTCTGATTATGTCTCCCGGCAGAGATTTTTTTTTTCAACCAGGCAATTGTTCACAAGATCATCCTCTGATAAATGTGGATACCTGATTCAGACATACCAAAACATCAAAAGTGGAAATCTTAATATGAAACCATAAATGCGATTTGGAATATTAATTAGATATCATAGAAACCAAAAATCATCATTATTTAAAAGCAGGCTGTTAGATACAATTTCAGGTTAATCGCACAAATCCGTTTAGAAAGGCACAAACAGGCACTTCAGATAGTATTTGTACCTCAGTTTGTTTGGTGCAGCCCTGGCACTGTAATCATGCCACATTTTTTAATCTCCAACATATCTAGGGAACAGCAGAAAAAGTACAAGTGTAGGTGTAGCAGGTAACCTAAAATGTGAGTCATTTTGATATTCTGTATACATATAGAATTTATGTGAGCTAAGTAGAATGATGTTTTCTGATCATTAAAAGTTGGATGAAAATAGTATGCCTCATAGAATTAACTGCATGTTTTACAGAAAGAGGTTCTGATTTGGACGCAGTATTTAGCAAGTACACTATGTTCCGACTTCAGGATGCATGTCAGGCCAGAACTATAGGTACACAGAAACAAACAACACAACCACTAGTATACAGTTGTGCTTCAATCGTGGTTGGAAACTGGCTTTAGCCCCGGTTTCCCAACCGGGAGTGCGGATCTAAGACTAAATGTCTGTAACCGGGACTAAAGCCCATCCACGAAACTAAAAAAATAGTTTAAATCCTGAGAGACCTCTCTTGTGGTACTTGAGTTTCGAACCTAGGCGCAGTATTTAGCAAGCACACTATGTTCCGACTTCAGGATGCATGTCAGGCTAGAACTATAGGCACACAGAAACAAACAACACAGCCACTGGTATACAGTTGGGCTTCAATCTGCAGAACACATGTGACAAAGTTCTGGGCGTTCTCCTTTTGTATTCACCCGTGGGGGGCCTTTAGTTCCGGATGGGAGACCTTTAGTCCGGATTGGTGACACCAACCAGGACTAAAAGGTCACCCTTTAGTCCCGGTTAGTGTTACCAACCGGGATAAAAGGGCCTTCGGTGCCTCTAAAATTTAGACCCAGGACTAATGCTCACATTAATCCCGAACTTCAACACGATCCAGATTAAGAGTGCGAACCAAAATTCGTTTCTCTGCTAGTGAGCATGAACGGCAAGGATGGGATCCGAGTTAATTACTGCACATGTCCACAGTGGCATGGTGCATGAGAGGCCATCAGCACTCATGGGGTTCACTGATAATCTGTAATAATTTTTAATGATTTTTTTATAAAAATTTCCAAGAAACCATAGTTAGAATTGTATAATCAAGCAAAAGGCATGTCAAAGAGCAAGAATAAGTGATGCCAAATAATATTTCTAAACTAGTATAATGCCCGTGCTAACGCAACGGATTTATCTTGGAGACGCACATGAAAACAACCAAACAATGATATTTTTTTCATAGTTTAAGTTTCACGCAATTATATATGACCATGTATATAATCCGAAAAACACTTATCTCGTCTCAACCATTTAATTTACGATTTGCTAGTTGATTGTCATGCGTTGCTATGGACATATAAAATTCCATCACATAACGTCACACAAGAGCAGAAAACAATAAACGCAATAAAAGAAGCATGAAAATAAATAGTAACATGTTTTCAAAATGAATCAGTGGAGTCACCAATAATCTTTTTTGCTTGACAAACATAATAATTTGCATTGATACATGATGAGTTAAAGTCTCAACAGCAGCTAGCAAAAGGTCGGGCTTCTTCAAAAAATTTGTAAATTTAGATATCCAGTACCAAGTAAATCCAATCCATAAATTAGTACTGCTCAGTGCGTACCAGTGTTTTCTTCTTTCTTGCCCGGTACCCATGCTGCTTTCTATCCGTTCTTCTCTTTGCTCAATGCTTTCTTCGGCCCTTTTCCTTTGCTGTGATATAGAATGCGTGCCACAATTTCACAAAACAATTCCAGAAAAAAAACTACACGTATTAATGAGAAAAACATCAACATATATCTAAACAATTTGTCTCCAAGCCTCCAATACTAGCAATACATCACAAGCACGGATAGTGAAAGTTCACCTCTCTAAGTTAGTTTTCCAACCTTGCTTTGTGCCCTTTTAGACCATCTGAGCATCAAGCAAGTCACACTACACATAGAAGGAGAACAAAAACTCACACCCTGGCTATGGTTCTGGCCGATGGTCTTTATCTCAGATTTTTTCACATTTTAGATTCTTGTGGCCATTTTTGTCCCAGTCAACCTAGCTCCAGCAGCTGATTTCAAAATATGATGATTTAGTCGCTATGAACTCATGGGCCCCGTTCGCTTGTCTTAAAGTTTGGCTTGTTCGGCTTGTTTTTTCAGTCGAAACAGTGTTTTTCTTTCACAACAATTCAGCCGGAACAGTGTTTTCAGCCAGTTTCAGCCAAAGTTCAGACCAGCGAACGGGGCCATGGCCAGAGACTTTTAGTGCCAGTTCATAGATGCATAAATAAAAATCAGTAATATGTTTCCTATTTCTTCACTTAATCCCAAATTCAACCACTACTATTATTACTAATATAAGATGATGATGACGACTCACCAACAATCGGTAAGTGAAACAAAATATAGGGATAAGAATCAAGAAAAAATAATGTGAAATGAAGAAAGCGTCACAGAGTAATAATAGTCAGTGACATTTTGTTAGGCTCACCTCTAAAGCTGCACGGCGAGAGATCCGGTGGTGGCGGGGCTTTGGACAAATTTCAAAAATTAGGAAACCCTAGATGAAGAACAAATTTGAGAAAACATCAAATTTGTGGTGCTATCCATACCTCAACGTTTCCAGAAACGCGGACTGGGAGGGAGAGGCAAAGGAGGATGGCCCGGTGCCCGTCGGCCTTGCCTGGTGATCGCCCCGGCTGACCGGCCCGACCGACCGCCGGGAGCTGGCCCTGCCGTAGCTAGCACACACGTCGGGTCACGTGCGGACACCCGCAGCCAGCACCACGCCTTCCGCAGCGTCACCGCCATTCTCACTTGATGGCCATTTGTATCCCACAAAACAACGTTCAGGTATATACATACTAAAACTAAAATATATGCATACTA